CTTTTTTTTTTTTTTTTTTTGGTACTGGGGATCCAACTCGGGACCTTGCACTTGTGAGGCAGGTGGTGGCACCACTGAGCTAAATCCCTGGCCCGACATTATTCACTCTTAATAGGAAGGAAAACCACAGGTTCATGTATTTAAGCATCAAGGTCACTCATGGCTACTCGGTGCCAGAATACTGTGGGTCACCTCTTCAGAGATTTCTCAGGGGATCAGTACTGCAATGACATCCAGGACCTAAGTGCCCAGCGCCCTGCATGGTGTCAGAGACACTGGCAGATCAGTGCCCACCCACTTGTGATGAATGTGGAATTGAAAGAAACCCAGGATTGCACACATCTGAGAATGCCCTAAAGGGATTTTTTTTTTCACCCTCAGATCTAAGAAGGTTCCTTTCTGCTGTGCCTTTTCACTTGGACCTTTAAGACCCCAAAGAACCAAACCACCTCAGGCGCTTAGTGGGGGTTCAGGGAGGGCACAGCAGTCCCAGAGAGAGCAGAACCCCAAGGTACAAGTGGGCTATTTGGCAGATGACAAGCAAACTAATTCAGCAACTACTTTCCTCCCCATGTACCAGCTAACAGCTACCTCAGGCAGCGTTAGAATGAAGGTGCACAAAACCCCAGCCTGTGTGGTGTCCTTGTGGTCCAGCTGTCACAGTTGGGGGTGCAGGGTACACACTAGGTCTGACGCCCTGGACTGGGGAGATGGTGGGCTCTGGGGCTTTCCAGATGAGCTCTGCTGTTTAGAGGGGGCCCTTTGATTAAAACGCACAAGTCCAAAAGCTGCCACCCTGTCCAGTGAAGCTAAGACTGACCAGTAGTCCCACTGCGAGGCCCGCGCAGGAGGCACCCCTCCTGTGCATTCCTGCAGCTAGCCGTACAGCGCGCCTTCCCAGGGGAGGACTGGTGGACGCCGCAGAGCAACCCCATGAAGCAGTGGCTCTCGGGTCCTCTGCTTGGCCCACCTGCACCCTCTGTTGGACTCAGAGCATTTCCCACCTTGAGCCCCTTTGCAACCCAGGGACCCCGGCCCCATTTGATACTTAGTGTGGACAGAGGGGATTCTGCCCTGACCTGATGGCCTCACATATCCTTGGAATGACTTGTCAAGCCTCAGGTTATAGACCTTTCAACCAGTGCCTCTGTGCCCCGCCCCCCCGCGGACCCCGGCTTTTTGTAGGGCAGCAGCTCCTTCTCAGTAGCTCTTCGACTCAAATGGCCTTTCACACCACAGACCCCAGGCACCTGTCATGTCCCGCAGCTCAGCACCTAGCTCGGAAGCAGGCTCCTCAGGTTTCCCATCTGCAGGCCCCGAGGGCTCCACCCTGTTCTGAAACAGATACACACCCAGCCTGCGCATGGAGGGCCTGCCTGGCATTGCTGGTCCACCTGTGCCACCTCTCCGACCTTCCAGTGACAACAGGCCAGCTATCCACCAGCTACCCATGCAGCCTATCCCGTCGCCTGCAGTCAGCACAGCAGCACGATGCATGTGTTCCTGTGGAATTCTTTCCTTAAAAGACTTCTTTTACTTGGCTGCTGGTGCATGCTGTCATCCCAGCACCTTGGGAAGCAGAGGCAGGAGGGTTGCAAGTTTGAGCCTAGCCTGGGCAACTCAGAGACTTAACAAGACCTTGTCTCAATTATTTTCTTTTTAAGAAAGGGCTGAGGACATAGCTCAGTGCGAAGGCCCAGATTCAGTCCCTTGTAACAAAAAACTTCCTACATTCAGAACAGTGCTATGGATATTGGTAAGGCAAGTCACAAATCAAAACTGATGCCACCAAGGGAGGGAACATATCCAGGGACTGTTTCAATGCATCTGAGTTTTATAGCACCGATCACCGACATTACCAGGCATGGAGAAGGGCCGATTCTTCTCATTTTAAAAGTGGTCCACGCCGGGCGTGGTGGCACACGCCTGTAATCCCAGCACTTGGGAGGCTGAGGCAGGAGGATCGCTGAGTTCGAGACCAGTGTGGGCTACATAGTGAGTTCCAGGTCATTCTCAACTACATAGTGAGACCCTGTCTCAAAAAAAAAAACAAAACAGCTTCTCTCCACTTGAGCAAACTGGTTGGTGCACTGTGCCAATGTTCTCAGCACCTACGCCTCCAAGGACAGTGAAAACAGAGGCTGCCAGGCAAGCCACCCTCAGAAGCCACCTTCCGGAAACGAAGGTCCCCTAACAGCTGCAGCAAAGCGCAGTGCATCTTGGCTCCGAGGAGCTGAGGGAGCCATGGGGATGCAGCAGTGCAGATGTGGCTGTGTTGGCGCAGCCAGGGGACATCTCAGCAAGGGATCATGTCACTGGCACCAGCCATCAAGCAGCCTTTGCCAGGCCACGTACTCCTGAGAGGTCCTCTGCCTACAGAGATTTCAGTGAGCTCTGAAGGAGGTTTTGCTGGTGTCTAAATATATACTGAGGCACCAATTTAATGGAATCCAGACACAGGGTATCCACCAGAGCACTAATTTGGTTAGAATATACGGGACCATTGTATCTCTAAAACCCACAATCACACTAAAATATAAAATTGGAAGTTTTGTTAAAAAAAAAAAAAAAAAAGGCAATGAGCCTCCCTCCAGCTTTGGTCTAAATAACCACATATCGGTCCCCATCATGCCCCTCGAGTGGGATGCAGCAGGCTCTTGAACTGTCAGCAGGTGGGCTGCAGGCTGTGTGGCCCCATATGAAGGCAGAGAGGTGCAACCCACGGCTGCTTCTGACACCCCAGGCACCCGAGGATGGCTTCACAGAGCTGGAACCCAGTCAGATGACCCTGTGCTTCTCAGGATTTCAGAAGACAAGAGAAACTGCATGGGCTGCTTCTGCCCGCCCCCCAGAGCATCCCTTTAGTGAGGGAGTAGGGGCCCCTAACGTGGTTCAGGGTATAGGGCCCCATCTGTCCAGAACGGACCAGTTGTGCCCTTAATCGGTGTGGTCCTGATGAACCAACAGATGACACCAAGTACTTCAGGGGCCCCTGGCTGTTAGATGCCTTGTTTAAAAAAAAAAAAAAAAGTGAGAAAAAAATTTGCCAGGGTGTCAGAAGTGAAGATGATGTTTTCCTCTAGAGAGGGGATGTACTGGCCACTGCCACTCTTGCTCCTCTCTTCCCCTACCCAGCACTAAATATTCCTTCATCCAGTTCGCTGATAAGAGTACAGCAAAGGCCCTAGCAGGAAAAGCGGAGGGGCGCATGGGCCTCTGAGTCACCTCGTCCACAGGGGGAGCTCTTGGGCACTTAGGAGGGAGAGGGCATTCCCAGGCCTCTGCCTGAGCTAGAGGGCGGCCAGCTGCAGGCCCCAAAGATCAGTATATGACTGAACCCTTCCTGGGAAATTAATCACTTTGGGAAGATTCCCTATTTTAGAGGCAGTCCCTTCTCAGGCCTAAACAAAATGAACCTCACAACAGATCCACACCACATCATGCCTTTTTTGTAAGATTACAGTATTACTCGTGTTGTCATTTTTTTCTATACTGTATGGTAAAAAGAATTAAGTGAATAACTATATCTTCAAAACTGTGATTTATTTTTTTTAAAAACCATCCTAATACAAATAGCTGACTAATTTGCAAGCATGTATCTAATAGCTAAATGTGAATTAGTGCATTTTCAAGTCGTCGTCCATTGTGCTTTAAAGCCTGGCTCTTGAATGTACGGGAAACAGGAAGCTGAGCTTGAACAATGGAGACCCAAAGGCGTGCGGGTGCACATGACCCTGGAACTTTTTGTTTCTCCTGAGCCACACAGAACTCACTCTCCTCCTGTAAATCTCTTCCCTCCGCTATTTTTATACATAGGAAGTGGACACCTGTCTATTTATTAACACCGCTGAGGCCTCTTTGACCCCAGGTGGGTGATCACAGACTTCACAAACCACTAGGTAGGCCTGTGTCGTCACAGCATCTGCTTTTCAGGGAATCATGGCCTGTGGACTATTACCAAAGAACCTAGGCAATGTGACGTATTCTGGTGGAAACCATTTGCAGCCACTGGTTCTCTGGCAGCCCCGGATGGCCCGGCCCAAAGCACAGACAGGGCAGAAACCACAGAGCCCATGAGTGGCCCTTATTCTGCTTCCGGTATCTTGGCCACATTTCCTTTTGGTGCATCTCGGTCTCCGTGACACCTTCCAGGAAGCACTGTGCTTCTGCACTGAACCCTAGAAGAGGGTCTGATAGACACGCGCAAGGAGGGGCACGTTTCCAAAGCACTGCCCTGGGCCCTTACCACGTGCCAGGGTTGCCATTCTTGGGTGCCTTATGCTCCCTGGCTTCCTTAGCATACAGAGCAGTTCCAGGCAGGAACTGAGGCACAAGCTGCAGTGTTCTCCCCAGCCTCAGCCTCCTGGGGACAGGACTGTGTGAGACCTCAGGAATCCAGGGGGTGCAAGCAGGAGGGCAAATGTAATTTCTCTAGTCGCGTTAACAGAACAGTTCCAGGCAATTAGAAAAATGGCTGTAACATTACCTTAATTTTAAAAATTTTGGGTCACCTTCATTTTCCTGTTAGGAGACTGAACTGACCATATGTACTGAGTTCTATCCTGAATTTATCAGAACTGGTATGTTTGGAATGTCCTACTGTAAGACTGGTGAATGTAAAGAGTTAATTTCAGGGTACAGTTTTGCCTTAATGGTTTTAAAAATTAAACTGTTTTTTAAAATTATTTGGTGCATTCTGTGACGTTGTGAGAATTGCTGGTTATGCACAATGAGAAAAAAAGGTAGGGGAAAAAACAGGCGTTTAAAAATAAAAGTCAGTGCACGAACCAGCAAGAAAAAGATCTTTATTCATCTTCCATCAAACACAACAGAGGCCTTGTAGTGGTTATGAAGTGGAACAGAGGAGCCCCTGCCTCTGCAAATGCTAAGCAGACACAGAGCTCTCCAAAGACCCCAAGATACCACTGTGTGGGTTTGGGGCCATGGGGACATCGGCTGACTGGGGGGCTGGATGTTGCTGGCATTGAAGGCTGAGTCCAAGATGGCAGGGGGCTCCCCCCTCGCCACGGGGAGCGCTGGCATCGATTTCCTGCCAGGCAGAACACCTGGCCCTTTCCCTCTTCCTGCGTCTGCTGTGCATGCACCCAAGGTGACCTCAGCCCACTGTTCACCCAGGAAGCGCCAAGGCTGCAGTGCTGTGCTTGGCACGCCGCCTGTCTTGGGGGTGCCCAGCTTGCTCAGCTACAGATCTGCTCCTAGGGACAAGACTGGCATCGTGCATGGGCTCTGCACAGGCCGCGATCACTTCCCGGGACAGACCTGGGTTGTGGGCCGTTTGGAGGAAGGGGCTTTCCTCTTCTCCAGGTCCTGCTGGATTTCCGGCGGGAAGGTGCTGAGGTTCTCCTGGACGCAGGGCAGACAGAACCGCTTGGAGTAGAACAGACTGCATTCCTGGGAGGGCCAAGGGACCACTGAGATCCCAGCAGCACCGCTGGCCATCTCAGGGCTGTCCAGGGCACCCAGATCAGTGAGGGCAAGATGGTAGGGGCCTGAGGGGCTAGCACAGCATCCAGGAGAGGCCCCAATTAGCACAGCCAATGGGGCGGAGGAGACAGAGGTATAAGGAGGCTGTGCCACAGACACCCCCATAGCTGTACTTCCTAGAGAGCTCTTATTCCTGTATCACAGCAGGGACAGGATGTCGGGGCCACTGGGAGCTGGCAGCAAGGTGCAGAAGGCAGGGACAGTCCCTCCACCCCTTTGTGTCCATTCACCCCATGATGTCAACACTGGAACTGTGCAAACGCGCACACATACACACACACACCTAGCCCACAGCACCGAGTTCAGGACAGTGCTTCCCAGCATGCTTTGCAACTGGGAATGGCCATGTGACTCCATCTGGTCAGGGCTACGACCAACAACTGTCTCTGCCACCTCCCGGTCAATCCCTTCAAAGGAATGGGCATGTATGTGTTCGCTTGTCCCAACTGGCTAGGATATAAATGTGACAGTGGGAGCTGCAACAGCCATGGTGGGCCTGAGTGGATGTGTGTTGCTGATGTTAAGGTGCTTGGGGCTCTGAGACTCTAGGACCACCTAGGGAGGCCCTCTAGCTGGCCCCCGCCCTCTGTCATGTGAGTGAGCCCTGGCCTCTGAGGACCCACATCCCCTCCCCATTACAGCTGGGAGGGCCAGATCTGCCCACCAGGGTAGCGGCCCAACCCTGCTTACCCACCGGACCCACGCACACCAGCCTGCTGCATATACTGCACCGCGCACCGATGACCAGGAACCTGCCCCTGTCCGGCGAGAAGGGATCCTTCATGACATAGCTCTCTTCTAGGAGCCTGTAAGGACAGGAGCTCAGTGATGGACAAGCCTGAAACTGCAGGCTACCAGGAGCTCTAATAGGATGGCAGGGGGCACTCAGCCACAGGGGCTGACTCACAGAGTGGGATACAAGGCCACACAAGGAAACCAGGCACCGCCCACACCCTCATCACCCTGGAGGCTGCATGTCAGAACAAGTGACCAGGTGACCCCTGACACTGTGCCTTATATAAGGACCAAGCTGGTCAGCCCTCCCCATGTGGCAGCTGAAGAAGGACAAGCTGGCAGACAAGAAGCAAACCCTATCTTCCTGCTGAGGGCACACCACGGGAAGCTGGTCCCCATGCTGGCTCCCACCAGCACAAGGACAGTAAGCAAGACAGGCATCCTGCCTAGCAATTGCCAATGGCGGCATGGCACTAGGGCACAGCCCCAAGGGAGGAGGCCAGGTGACTGTGGACCAGCTTCTCCAACTGGCCTCAGGCATCCACCACGCAGCAGCCTGGAGGGCGGGGTGGGACGGAGAGTGCAGGGCCTGGGAGGGGAGGTCCAGAGCCCTGCGCTCCAACCCGCCTCCTGCCTCCTTTCCTTGGATCTCTCTTCTGGCTTCCGGAGCTAGGGCAGGCACAGGCCAAAAGCATAAACCGAGACCCTACTCACAGGACAGACTGGGTGTTGGGAGGCTTCTGTCCCACGTAGCTGTAGGGCGCCGTCAGGGCACAGATCTGGCACTTGAACATTCCCAGGGGACGGCACTCGGCCTCAGCCGCCATCTACTATCAGAGACGCTTGTCACAGTCAGAGCCAGTACCACCCGCCCCAAACCTCACAGCCTCCGTGTGCTTCACACCCACAAATGCAAGTCCCTTGGCAGACAGGAAACCCAAGTGCGCAATTGCTGGACTCGTGCCGGGCCCCGAAATGGACTTCAAGCTTGAAACACCAAAATCATACAGTTTATTCTCTAACTACAGAATAGTCAGAAATCAGTAACAGAAAAACCTGGAAAAGGGCCGGGGATTTAGTTCATTGGTTCAGTGGCCTGCCTTGCAAGCCAAGGACCCGAGTTCAATCCCTGGTACCAAAAAAAAAAAAAAAAAAAAAAAAAAAAA